GGCTCACCTCACAGTGTGCACTTGATGGCTGTTTGCCATGATCATGTATAGGTAGCATCATTATTTGTGATTGATTTATTTATACACAGAAGTTGCTCACCTGCCTGCTGACTGGGCAGGGGGATGGAGACCACAGATACAAATCAGGAAGCTACAGTTAGGCTGGGCCAAGCCATTTGGGACACATCACTAAGGCATTCCCTGAGGTAGGAAGAGGAACAATTCCTGATGCTCCTGTTTTCTCCTCAGAGAAGAGCTGAGTTTTTGGGCCTGGCCCCTGGCTTATGGCTGCTGGTGGGGTTGGTATGCCTGGTGGGCATACGGTGACACAGCATGTCTGCCTAACTCCATAGCTCCATAGGCACTTGGGGGCTCCCCAGGCTTGGCAAGCCTTGAACAATGAGCCTTGGGAGGTGCAGGGCTTCTGGCAGAAGAGGGTGATGAGAGAGACCTGCCCTGAATTTCCCCAGGGCAGTCTGGGAGAGCTTCCAGAAGCACAGGCTAAAAATCTCGAGTCCCAAACTTCCTCTCACCCCCCACCCTTGCTCCACGTCGTGACTTTCAGCCCCACCCTCCAAGGTCTGGCTCCGGACTCCAGACCCGTTTCCACCACACTCCTCTGCTGGGCCCCACCCATGCCTGCACAGGGCATTCCACCCGTGCTCACTCTGCTGGTTCCGGCTGCTGGAGACGGCCATCCCCAGGACCAGCTCAGATGCCACTGCCCCCTTCTGGCGCTCTCTTCCCCTTCACCCCCAGTGTGAGGGTCTGTTCCTGTCGCTGTCACATCTGCACTCATGCTACATTCACTGTGCACAAGCCCGCAGGGCTTCCTTGTCGTGTCTTTCCCCCACACTTCCTGGCAACCTGGGAAGTCCCCAGTGGACACAGTCCATGAAAGTCTGAAACTGGGCCAGACATAGTGGCTCACGCCTGTAATCCCAGCATTTTGGGAGGCCGAGGTGAGAGGATTGCCTGAGCCCAGGGGTTCGAGACCAGCCTGGGCAACTTGGCGAGACCTCATCTCTACAATAAATCAAAAAATTAGCCAGGCATGGTGGCCAACTATACCTAGAGGGAGTCTTTAACCCTAGGTAAAGAATGACACTTGAAACGTAATGTTGAGGTGCTATGTTCTGTCAACTTGGGAATCCTTCCTTGCGCCTATTTTGTGTTTTTATAGGTTCAATGCCAAGACATAGAAATACCCATCTGCCTGTTTGTGATGCTTAAGAAACATGCACGCTGAATTGCGTCTGGTTATAAGAGCTAATGCCGCTACCACTTGCTTGCTTAAAGATTAGCCTTCAGGATCTCATGATTAACTTTCACAGCCAACAGAATGTGTTTCCTAATCCTAATCCTTATTCTAGCCAATCCTTTCCACGCAGTTAGAGTCTGTTAACTCTGAGTTCTGTCAGCCCAGGCAAATACAAATGCTCAGAATGAGGACTTACAATACTGAAAACAGCACAATCCATCTTCCAGCTGCCTGACAAGAAAGCAGCTTCTACTCAGAATAAGGATAAGTTAGCTAATGCTGACACTGCAGAAATGGCCAGTCCATATCAGGTATCTTGAGTGGTTCCTGCACCTTCCCCCTACCCTCCCTGCCTCATTCAGACATTAATTCTAGGTCTCTCTGCTGCACTCAGGGTTGAATCTTGTGGTAAAATGCTAGTGGTATAGTCACTGCAGGAAAGCATATATAATTTATTCGTCAGAGTGGTTTTAATGCCCTCTTTCAGGGAGCTTGATACATTAAAGAAAAGATAAATGGTTATGGGCCCAGAAAATCTGAGGAGTCAACACATGCCTGAGAAAGTACCGTTTTTAACCCTTAATCATGTGGGCCAAAGAGCAAAACCGATTTTTACTGCTTATGAGCAATGGTGCTAAATTGAGACAGTGGTCTACAGAAAAAAGAAGTCCCCACAAAAACCGTATTTCCCCATATGATTCAGGAAGCCCATTAAGAGGCTTGGGAAGAAGTGATGGGGTGATGGGCTGGAGGCAGAGCCTGAGGCAGGCCCCGGGGCCTGGAATGTGGCCTGAGAATCCAGTCCTGCCCTTCCCTGGTCCCTGTGGGTGTGAGGGATTAAAGCCTACAAATAAGGAAACGGCCTTCAGCCACGTCCTCAGGTGCTTAAGGAGCTGCCTCTGTGTTCCTGGCTGTAAATGAACTCATCTTCAGTGAGGTCTGGATGATCACAACCTCCCTCTGTTGCACATTTAGCATGTGCTGGGCGCTTCACTAATTGCTTTATAGGGAACTTGTTTAATCTTCCTGACGTCCCTCTGTGGTAGGTGCCACAACTCGCTTTATAGAGGGAGGAAATCCAGGTCTCACAGAGGTTAGGTCATTTGCCCGAGCTCAGCAGCTAGTCAGGATTTGAACCCTGAGACAGCCTGGCTGCAGGGCCTGGGCTTACCTTAACCATCATACTTTTAAATACCATTTTGCCCTAACGAAAATTGATAGTGTGATGTCCACAAGGCTAGACTATTTTAAAAACTGTCTCTGTCTCATGGGTACACAGGGGGACCTGGGGAAATGCCCTTGATCTTGGTTTCCCGTCTATAAAAGATGATCGTGCCATTCTTCACCCACCCCACAGCTGTGTTTGGAGAAGGAATGGATTGATCATCCAGGCTCTTAAGAACCTTGGGTGATTGAAGATGCCTATTTAAATAATATGAGCAAATGTGTTGCCACATCCCTGCCACAAGGCTCAAGTCTCCAAATGAGAGCAGCTTTCTACAACAGCTAGTTTGGGATTTTAAAAATGCCTTAATAACAGAGATCAAAAAATCTTTGTAGAATATGATTAGGGCATTCTTGCAGGGATTTCTTCTGACATCTGAGGCAGGTATGGTGTCCTACCAGGTGAGATAGTTTCCAGCATTTTGTCTCTGAGAACCACGTATTCCTTTCTGGCTGGCCTTGGTAAACGGGGTCGGTGAATTCTAACTCATACTTGTTAGTCCCCTGCATTTCCTCTTCCAACTGCTCTACTAGGACCTGCACCACTAGGGACTGGATGACTGCAGGAGACCTCACAGTGGTCTCCTTAAGATGCTCTTGAAAGATGTATAAAAGGGTTAATTTGTGTATCACGGGATAAACTTTAATCCTCTGTTCGAGCCAGAAGGAATGATACCAGGCCAAGCAGGTAGTATTCCAGGGAATTTTCCCAGGAAAACTGTTTCATTGTAAACTGCAGTACAAGCCGCATGTTTAAAGATTTCAAGAGGCAAATGAGAGGGCAACCCCACGCTGGCTCCTCGGCCTTGTCCCCCACATGCAGCCGCCACTACCCTGTTGCCTATGCCCCGTTGAACCTGGACATCTCCTTTGGCTCCTGGGCAAACGTGGAAGATCTCAGAGGTTCAGTAGATCCCCAGACGTCAGATTAAACTTTGGAGGAGGTTTTGTCAAAGAATCCACAGCAAGGACATGTCTGAGACAAAGAGAGGGTATGGCTGGCTTTTAAAAGCTGAAGATGATGATCCTGAAGACAAGTCAGTCTTTTTATTATACGTTTATTTTGTTGTCTCTATACGCTGGGATGTGATCCAAGTCACACGTCAGTAGAGGACAATGAGGTGACATTTGTGTGTAGAATGGGATTCCTGCTGAAAGGGTTGGGGAAACCTGTTGCTGATAAAACTTTATCGTTTCAGATGTAAAGGCAGGTTCGAGGTCTTTGGAAAACATTACTTTTCGTATTTAATTAAGCCGTTATCTGGGTTTGTTGGTCGGAATTCTAAATTGTTTGAGTCTTCATACTCCAGTGAATAAAATATAAAAGCATTATGTTTAAAAGAGAGACAGATGAGAAATAGATGATCTTGGAATTACCATATAGTTGTAAGAAAGTATTTTGGAAAAATGACCCCAGAAATCTCATGTGAGCATAAACACACACATATGCACATTTGTCACCTTTGACTTAGTAATCCTATTTCTGGAAGTTTATCCTTACGAAATTATCCCAAATCGGGGAATTAGGATGTGTACTCCATAGTCATTTATAATAGAAACATATTTGAAAGTCAGCAGGTCCCAGCTGCACATGTGTACATGCACACCTGATGGAATATTTACCAAAAATAGAAATTATAAAATCCATGCAGCAACGTGAAAATGCTTATTATGTAAAGAAAAAAGTCAGATACAAAATCATGACACTGCACCATTTACATTGTTTTGCATTTCTAGAATCCCTACTGTCTGTTCTCTGCTCTGCCTCTTCATTTCCATACTGGTGATTCCCTTTGATTAGTGTTCTTCCTATGGTCTCTTTAGCATCTTGAGCACACTGCCCTGAATACTCTTTTCCAGACTGTTCTCAGGGCCCAGATTCTGTTCATTTCCTTGGGCCAGCTGCAAGTTCTTCCTGCGAGCACTTCATCTTCTACAAGGCTTGTGGTCTGCAGGGCCCGCTTTTCCCTGGCCTGGAGGAAGGTGCTTTGCTTTGCCTTTGCCCAGACATAATCGTTTTCATAATCCAGGCAGATGGCCCCTTTGCCCGCCAGTCCCGGGTGGCAGGTTGAGGCTGAACCAAGTGTGAACCCTGAACCTGTCCAGGAAGCTGAGGTCCCTCGCGGGGCCCAACTCCCTGCTCCTGCACTTTGGCTCAGCTCTTCCAAGTCACAAGGTCCTGCTTTCTTCCTCGTTTAGACTGCCTTTCCTGCCCTCAGATGCGGATGTGAATTTAAAAGTAACTTATGCTTGATTCATGGGCTCCATGTGTTTGTAGTGGGACATTCACCTTATTAGCCAGAATTGTTTATTGTTTATCCTTCTCATTTACTGCAACTATACGAAAATATTTGTGAATATAATCAAAGACTGTAAGGAATTGTGAAAATGATATTATTCATTATGGGTAAATAGTGGGTTTTATACTATTTTGCCAAGATTCGGTGCTATCATTATATTTGTCTTTGAAACAGTAATTATAAGAATTATCTTTTTAACTATTGTCTTGTTTCAGAATGTATATACTACAACTGCCATTAATGGGACGGATTTTTGTACATCAGCAAAGGATGCATTCGAAATCTTGTCCAAGCATTCAAGTCATCTTACATCTGTTAACCGCTTTGGAGCCTTCATAATTTTTTTAGGAAAGGTGAGATGTCTTGACTAAATAAAGGAACCTGGAATTCAGAAAATTAGGCCATGCAACAATTTGTTTGAAAGGGAGCTATGTTTTTTGAGTACTTACTCTATAGTACATGCTGTGCTTTGTCATCTCACTTAATCCTCAATCCCGTAAAGTATGCATTTTGCGGATGAGACTAAGGTTTAATAACTTGTCCAGGATCCCACAATAGGTACAGCCGGGATCTTCATCCTTACCCTCTTACCTATAATCAGTTCTGTCTACCATTCTGATTCCCACTTTTTCATGTCTAAAGTGAAAATGCTACTACCTCTAGAAAATGAATGAGAGTTTTTTTCTCATTAAAAATATGGAATATTGGAATGATGAAGCTTGTACATAAGTCTATAGATAAGACAGAATTGTTAATGTTCTAAGTGGTGCCATAATGGCATTTGTACTATCATCTGAATGTTTGTAAAGAAATTATATGCAGTCTTGTGGAGGGAAGGGGCATCTTAGAGTTCCAACACCTCATAGTGTAAAAACCAGAGCTCTCAACTTGGAATCTTTCACAACTCTGAACTTTAGTTTTCATATCTATAAAATAAACATCACCCATGCCCTTTCTAGGTTGCAGGGAAGGATACCTGAAATGTTGAAGACAGTGGTGTGCCAGCCCTGCCTCACCCCCTTCCCCACTATGCTTTAAGTTGGAAGCGTCTTTAGACAGGGCTACACTTTGTCCCTTTGCATGTAATTTCCACTCACTGGGCCTAATCCCGCATGTCTGTTTGCCTGATCCAGCTTCCACCTGACTGCTCTTCAAGGGCTTAACCTCTGACACCCTGACCTTCCCACCATGTTGTCCCCATTCCAAGCTGAAAACCCTCGCTTCTTTCAACCATTCCTACACATCTGATGTGAATACCACATGGCCCTTCACGCACTGAAAAGTGTTCAAGCTCTTGGGTCTCCAATTGTGCCAAATACGGGGCCTCTGCTCCTCATTTAGGATTGTGTGCTTCTGAGGCAGTTGGTGTATGTCTCTGGGTGCATTACTATCATAGTTTGCTATCAGCAATGTTATAACATGCTTGGATTTCACAGGAGTGTGCTAACTGCACGTGTATTTAAGTCTCAAGTAGTGTAAGGTGTAGTTGAATTTATTTATTTATATTTTTAGTTGAGTTGGAGTTCTACTCTGTCGCCCAGACCGGAGTGCAGTGGAGCGCTCCTGGCCACCGCATCCTCGACGTAATGGGCTCCGGCGATCCTTCCGCCTCCTTCCAAGTAGCTGGAACTACAGGCACCCGGCTAATGTTTTTATTTATTGTAGAGATGGAGTCTCACCAAGTTGCCTGGGCAGGTCTCGAACCCACGGGCTCAGGCAATCCACTCGCCTTGGCCTCCCAAGTGCTGGGGATTACAGGCTGTAGTTGAATTTAAATGAATGTCATTTACATTAGTTTGGTAGGATTGTGGCTTATATATTTTCTAATAACTGCTTCCAAAAGCTTTTGAAATGAGAGTTCTTTTTAGTAGACTTATTTTTAAATTTTATTTTTTAATCTGGGTACAATTCAGAGTTAGGTATATAAATGTTCATTATGCAGGTACCCTTGTTGATGAGGTGTGCCCCCCCCTTCCCCGCCCGCCGCCAGCAGTTTCCCACTACTGCCAATCCCTAAATTTTATTTTAGATAATTCATATTCTTCTATTTCCCATAAGGAACATAAAGCGATTAATAAGTTTTTGGTGAGTGTGTGCTAACCAGTTTGGTTTTTTGAATAAAATAAAGTAGCATTCAGAATTGCATGGTCATCTCTTGCACATTCGGGGCAATGGGGAGCCCAGGTGGGTTCCATTGTATCTGTTAAAGAACTCAGTACACCATGACCTGTAATCACATGCCTGGAAATATAATACATACAGAAGCCTGGAGTAATCCTGTAATCTCCTCACACCCCCACTAGAGAGCTTTTCCATTTTAATCTCCTGGTAAAACTAATCGCTCACTAAATTTCAGTAGATCCACTCAGTGGATTGTTGTACTCTTGCAAAAAAAAATGGCGTTGTGAAAATAATTGTGGTGTCAAGTGAAAAGATAAAAATTGTATGAAGTATATAAATACAAAACTAGGCATAAAATGAAAGTATATATACCCTTCCCACCCACCATTAACTGGGTTTTCTTTTGATGTAAGATTTTTTCCTTGTTTCATTCTGCCAAATTTTCTGATTCTTTACAATAGCGTGCACACACACATGCACATACATGAAACTATTACTTGTAACCAACAGAAAGACTCTTTTCTAAAATATTCTAACCAGCTGATTTATAAAGATTTTCAACAACCTCTTGTTTTGGACAGGTGCTGGTGGTGTGTTTCACTGTTTTTGGAGGACTGATGGCATTTAATTACAACCGTGCACTCCAGGTGTGGGCAGTTCCTTTGTTGTTGGTAGCTTTTTTTGCCTACTTAGTAGCGCATAGTTTTTTATGTGTGTTTGAAACTGTGCTGAATGCACTTTTCCTGTGTTTTGCTGTCGATCTGGAGACAAACGATGGATCATCACAAAAGCCCTACTTCATGGACAGAGAGTTTTTGGTGAGCACACATTTCATTCCTATTGCCATCTCCATCTCCCAATCCTGCAGGTTTTGAAGAGACTCTCACCCAAGAGGCTGGTGCGCAGCCTTTCTCTTCCAGAGGGTTCTGTCATCTTCTGTGACTGCGCGGCCCGAGGGGCCAAGGGTAAGATTTAGGCTCAGCCAGCTTTCAGAGGTTAAACCCACCCCCCTTCTGTGGAGAGGAGAGGCGTGAACAGAATCAGGACAGTCAGATGGGTTCCTCACTGGGAGCAGCACTCCTGCCTGGGCAGCAGGTGTCCTGGACACGGAGTCCAAGTCCCTTTGGTGCTCATGGCTCGGTCTGGTCTTTGGGGCTCACGGTGGGTCTTTTTCTAAAGCATGTTTCATCTCCAAGTGTCATGTCATACCACTGCACCTCAGGGGGCGCACACTCTAGGGGTGACCAGGCACTCTCTGTGGCAGTGCCGACAGGTCTGCAGTCCTCGGGCCCTTTGTGTGCCAGGCATGCAGCATCAGAGCCACACCCTCAGCAGGCTGGCTGCCTCGTCTGGGAATAGCAGGCAGCTGTTGGCAGCAGCGTCCCCAGCACAGTTGCTGTTCATCTGCCTTAACCCTGGGAGGGCAAGGATTTCTAACAGCTGAATGCCTCTTTTCCTTGGCCAAGTCACATGACATTTTAATAATTTTCTTTCATTCTGTTGCCATAAAATTTAGGTGTTAAAGCCCTTTCAGCTTTAGACAGCATTCCAAAGGCCCTCTTCAGTTCAGTGAGCACTGAAATTTAACAAGCACTTCTGTAGCTATTAATGTGTCCTAATCCTTCTCAGTATAAAACATAATACAGCTTTGACTTATGTATTCTGACCTATTTGTATGTACTATAAAGAAGTATTTCTGCTGGTGGCAAGAAGCTGGCCAGGTTTCCATTTCCCGATTCACACTTTCCTAGTTAAAAACCCATTTAAAAATCTAGCCCTCTATGTATTTCAACAAGAAAAACTTTCTTAAGGACCCAGTCCCCCAGATTTATGGCCAAGTACTCCCTGTGAATGGTTATTGTTGGGGCTCAGACAACGATACCGAAAAAATATGGTGCTTTGACAAGCTGAAGAAACCTAAAGGTCTTTCTCTGACCTTCCCTCCCTCCCTCCTCTCAATCCTGTCTCTCCCTAAGCACAGAATGAAGGTATTACCTGAATTTTCTTTATCTGCCTAAGGTTTAGATTTGCCAAAGAACAATGAACTGTAGTCCCTTTCCTGAGTTTTCATCAACTGAACTCATATTGCAAGAACAAAGACTCAAGTCCATCAACACACGAGGCAGACTTTTGTCACATACCACTGTCCGCTTTGCAGGCCCAACGGGTCCTTTTATGCTCTTCAAGCTAATTAAACTCCCCTAAAAGTCATTGACTAGCCCCCAGAATCACCCACACTTCCCCACCTCTTTTCCCCTGAAAAGGAGGATACAAAACTCTGTTCCCCACTGCGTGGCTTTCCCCCATACACACTAGTAAAGCTTGGTGTCATTTTTCCTATGAATCTGCCTTTTTAAAGTCAATTCTTCAGTGAAATTTCAAAGGGCAAAGTTTTCCTTAGGCCCCTGCACTATCAAGAGTATGCTATGTAAGATCTCTCTCGTTCTTTTGCTTTTCAGAGTTTTGTAAAAAGGAGCAACAAGTTAAATAGTATACGAGCCCAGCAAGACAAGCACTCTCTGAGGAATGAAGAGGGAACAGAACTCCAGCTCGTGGTGAGATAGGTGCCTATTAGATCGTACCCAGAAAAGGTTTCCTTCTTCTAAGAGGCATTTACAGGGTAAAAGACAAGACCATTACAGAGAAGATAGTGGAATTAAAAATAAAAGGCCAGACTTATACTCCTATTCTTCCTCATTGTTCTTGTGTTACTATTGTTCTGTCTGACCACGTCACAACACTGAAACCGTTTACACCTTTTTTTGTACCAACCCAGACAAATAAACTTTTAAAGCCATGTTTATGTGCACCAGTTTAAAAAGCACAATATGTAAAAATGCCTTTGAGTTTGTGACGGCACAACCAATAAACCTTTTTAGGAAAAGGATTTTGTTAGCAGAAATCTCTGGAATGTTGTTTTTTTTTTTTGAGATGGTGTTTCACCATGTCACCCAGGCTGGAGTACAGCAGATATTCTCAGGTGTGACCTTAGCTCATGCAACCTCAAACCCCTGGGCTCAAGCAATCCTCCTGCCACAGCCTCCCAAGTAGCTGGAACTACAGGTACACACTACTACTCCTGGCTTGAATGTTGCTCTTATACGGGATAGGACTTTCCCCTACCTATCCAACTCTGGAAATCTAAATATATTACTTTTTCAAACTATAATTCTTAGATTTAAGAATCTAGTTTAAAGTCTAACTGGAACTACCACCTGAACTGGGCATGTATGAGACAGGAGAGGCAGGGGAAGTTTAAACCAGAGATGACTCCATTGGTTAAAAACACAAGCCACTCCCACAAACTAACAGACATTCTGGAGAAGTGGTTTTCAAAATAGATTTTTAAAAATACTTGTACCTGGACCCCAGAGGTTTATTTAGTGGGAGTGTAGAGGAGCACTTACTCTTTTCAGCCCCTTAGACAGGCGCACTGAATGTTTTTAACACATTTATTGGCAGCTTCAGGAGGACCAATAGGACTTACTGTCAGGACAGGTAGCATGAGGCTTCCTTCCCCAAACACCCATTCAAGACAACAAGAACCAGCCTTACAGGCCAAGGCTACTTTGTATGCAAATTCCTTTTTCTTAAACAGCACCACTGTTAAACTGTTAGCTCCAATAGTTTCCTTTGGAAAGGAACTCAGAGCCCTTCTCAGGAGCATTGACATAGCCATGGTGCAATGCTGAGCCAGTACTTTGCTTCTGTGGGCTCAAACCCTGCATGCCCTCGCCTGCCTTAGCAAAAAACAAGCAGCATGTATTTACCCCAAACCTAACAGGCACACCCTATCAGAAGACGCTGAGACAACTTCAGAAAGCAGGAGTTACTAGTTTTCTTTTAGTGACTGCATTTGTCATTATGACAGTTAGCTGTTGTTTGACCTTCTGTCATGATTGAAGGTTTAGGTCTTACTATAAACTCATTATCAAACAGCACACCCTATTTCTGATCCAGGATGTTTCTCATTCATATTTAGTCACCCTGGGATATGAATATAAAATTCCCCGCTGCTCCTACCAATATTGCTAAAGATGATTTTAAGATGATTCCAAGTAGAATTTATGATGAACCTAGGGCAGTTAGGTCACAGTGAAATAAGCCAAGAATCAGACAACAACTTGAGTTCTAGCTGTCACTTACTGTATACAGTGGGCAAGGCCCTTCCTTTTTCTGAGCCTCAATCTCCTTAAGCATAGAGTACAGTGTTGCGTTAATTAAATAAGAATGTTTGAGTACCTTATAACAGTACCTGGGGAGAACATACTTTAAAAAAAATTTAACTCTACCTGTTGAGAAGCTAGCCAGAAAATAATCAGCCTGTGGTTCATATGAATGTTCAAAAAAAATATTTATTTATAAAAAATACAATGGGATAAGTTTATGCTGAGAAATGCAGCAATAAATACAGTTGAAGAAAACTGAGCAACTCCACATCGATACATTGGCACAAACAGGAAGGGCAGACGCACCTCCTGGACCTAAATGTCTGCCGGCCACTTCTGTCCACACTCCTAGAAACACCACTCCAAAAAGGCCTTGTCCACTAGTAAGAGAATGAGTACACATGTGATCACAAATGCACACTGGTCAGGACTTTATTTAAAAATCAGCAAACAATACTGCAGAACAATGATATGTAAGTTTCTAAAATGCTGCATCTTAGATTTAGTTGGCAAAGACCACATTTAGCAATAAGCATGAGTTTTAGTCTTCCATGTAGAACCAGATACACTAAATTGTAAAAAAAAATAGTTTCCTATTATTTGAGAATACCAGTTTAAGTGTAAGGCTGTAAAAATGCATAGACCTTTAATCAAAGAGCTGGCTGTACAGAGCACTCCCCTTTCACAGTATTCCTCTTTACTTCATATGCAAGTCACTGGTTATGCTGTAGGATTTAGCTTTACAGCATTAAAAGGCAACTATTTAGGGAAGAGGCAGAAAAAGGAAAAAGGAATGTATGTAAGGCATTTTTTTTTTAGGTACAATAAGTATAATAGTGTTTTAGGAAGACAAGATAAAAATTACTCAAGGCTAGCTTGGTTCTCACTGAATAAAAACAACAGACTAAATACTGAGCTCCTCTGTGTGACTCTAATAATCAATGCCTTGGTCACCATATTGGTAATCTCTGGGGTAATCATCTTGGTACTCGCCATGATATTCATCTGGGTATTCTGCCTGATAATCGCTATCACTGATTTCCGACCCATTTGTTCCCGTTCCTTGGCTTCCATTGTGAATGACAGGTTCTGTCGGAGCAGCGCAGTATTTGGGATCATACACTTGTCGCCCAAGCCCATACACACTCATTCCTTTCTGAGAAGCAACTTTGTTGGTACCCATCTGCAGAGAAATTGTTGAGTTGTCCACGGGTTGTAATGTGAGCTTCTGATCATAGATGTCTCTTCTGGTACCTGGTGCTAACATCCCCGCCTGGTATTAGAACATAGCATAAGAGTTAAAACAGCAGCTAGACTCTATTCTTATGAATATTTTACAAATTATAAAATTCACATTGATTATGAACACTAGTACAATAACTCATTTGGTTTGTGATAAGGCTATCTTAACAAAAATATCCTGATACCGAATCACTACTATGAAGCAATATTAGTTGGTTTTCAAGCTAGATCAACTTTCCTTCAAATCCTTACTCTGCTATAAAATAGCTATGTGGCTTCCAACAAGTTGACTTACTTTTAGTTTTAGGTTTCTCATATGCAAAATGCAGAACAGTACTACCTACTTTGAATCTAGGAAAGGATTAGACGTGAGGAATGGAAAAACAAAGCATGATGCTGGCACACCTGAAAGTTACATTTTAAAATTTTATTTTAGATCCCAGGGTACGCACGTGTGTTCGCTAATGGACATACTGTGGTCTCAAGTTGGAAGTTACATTTGAATGCCCATCATGACCATAATACACGATCCAGGTTACCAGTGTTAAAAGCTTATGTTCAACAAAAATTCTGCTGAGCAGACCTTGAACTGCTTCAGAACAGCCACTCCCCTCTTTTTTAGAGTACAGTAACTTGTATCTCACTTCTCCACTTATGTCAAGCACACACTCCCAGACTGATGAGAAATGAACTTGAGCGGCAACTATGAAAGATACAGTGTCACACCTAGCAGGACGTGTTCCATAAAGGACAAACAATAAACCACCCCGGGGTCATTAAGAAGATGTTTTTCAAATCTTATCCTCAGTTGTTTTGGATGTGAGACCTGTCTGCTCTCAAGTGAGATCAGAACCTCTTCTGATCCATGTTTAACAAGGAAATGCCTCCATCTTGGATGTGGTGTTGGAATGCTACATTTAAGTAGACGGTTGCATTTCCATCTACTTTTATCGACACATTTAACAGGAATGCTAGCTAAACAGTTTATAGTAGAAAACCAGGCAATTTTATCTACCAACTTAATTAAGAGCTCCTTTTTTTAGGTTAGCATTTAAATGAGCAACTGTACTTGGATCTTTTTTTTATTTTTTATTTTTTGAGTTGGAGTCTCACTCTGTCACCCAGACTGGAGTGCAGTGGTACACTCCTGGCCACCGCAGCCTTGACCTGCTGGGCTCCGGTGATCCTTACATCTCAGCCTTCCAAGTAGCTGGAACTACAAGCGCACCCTACCATGCCCAGCTAATTTTTGGTTTATTGTAGAGATGAGGTCTCGCCAAGTTGCCCGGGTGGGTCTTGAACCCGTGGGCTCAGGCAATCCACTCGCCTCGGCCTCCCAAAGTGCTGGGATTACAGGCTGAGCCACTAAGCCCGGCTTTAAGTAACAACACTGTAATGCACGTCTTTTCTTCCTCTGGGTAGGTAGAAAAACCAGCTGCTCTAACTGCCAATAAAAACCATGAGACACACCATTCTTCTGTTGCAACAGAAAAGGTCCTTGGGCTCTTCTGCTCTCCCAGCAAAATCTACTTTTCTGAAGGAATACACTAAAAACTATACAAAAAGCACCAACTTAGAACTCTTAGTGAATAAGAATCAGGTATGTGCTAATGTGAAACAGCCCTTTGGTTCTCTTTCACAAGTATAAAGAGGTATCACATACCTGGCTGGCTCCTTTGTTAGTGCCCATCTGCAGGCTAATCGTGGTCTGGTCAAAAGGTTTGTCAGTTTGCATCTTGGGATCATAAAGGTGCCTCCTAGTCCCATAAGCCGTCATACCTGCCTGGCTGGCACATTTGTTGGTTCCCATCTTTTAAGTTAAAAATAAAATAAGTACAAGTTATCAGATGTCCATATACAATAGAAACAAACTTTTTGTGCTACTAACAGGAAGAAAGAGGCGCAGCCAGCAAGTTCCTGAGCTGAGGTTCCTCACTAGAGACAAAGTCTCCTCTGTGCACTCCACAAACAAATGTCAAATGCCACCTGTAACACATTTTGTTCTCAAAAGATCCACTGTATATGAAACCTCATAATTAACCATGTATAAGCATGCATACGAGCAGATGAATGGACTAAATGACTAAAAGTCATTACGGTGGCAGCATCATGGGCGATTTCTTCCCCACTCTCTATAGCCCAGACAACCAAAGTAAAAGGTGCTGTTTAGTCACGTGAATGGACAAAAGCAATCTTAGGCCAGGGAATATGCGGGTCTATTCCAGAATCCTTTTACGCAAGACATTGAAGCAAATTCCAGGAGTTTTCTCTGGGAGCTTCACAAAGGCTTCAAGTTCCAAAATCGTCAACATTTTCACAAGAACCACATTTCATCTCTCCAACTCTCACACCCCTTGACAGAGCTAGAGAGAGGCAGAATGAGGGACCTGAACTCCAAATTCAGAGGAATAATACTTCACTTCTCTTCCCCACTGA